TTTTTTTAACTGTAACTCTTTACGGGAGTAGAAAGCCTCATCTTTCTCCTTCAGGGTATTGGAAAGCACCTGGGGTGTCTTAGAAAAAGAACTGACTCCCTCAAGTTATTTCTAAACCCATGGACTCACCCTCTTCCATCCTCAACCGCTCCAGAACTGCACATGGATAGATCTGATCCTGAACAGCAAACCTAAGACTAGGACAACTGCAGTCAGGGGTCAAAACACTGCCTAGGTCCCCGAAGTCCCCACCTGGCGCCTGGACAGCACACAAAGGCTTTTAAAGTAAAACTGACGTCAAAATTACAAGCTGCCAGAGGCAGGCAGGAACTGATGACTCGAATCCAACCAGGCTTGGTTCCTGCCAACACAATACCAACATTCACCATGAGATTGAAACAGGGCCCCAAATCACATAACACGTGCCCCAAAACATCTGAGAGCAATACAAAATCATTCGACATACGGAGAACCAGGAGAATACCCGGTCACATAAGAAAAAGACACTCAGTGAGCATCAGTGTGATAGTGACGCAAACGTCAGAATTATCTGACAGAATGTAAAAGCAGTCTTCTTAAAAAGTGCACCAAGTACAGATAACACTCTTAAAAGGGAAAAAAGTTTTAGCCAAAAAATTGAACATCTAAAGAAATAATCAGGTGCAAATAACTGCCACTTTTTGTTTCCAAAAAGAATGAAAAGAAATTCTTTATTATTAGTTGAGATGTCTTTTTAAGGAGACAAGACTTGAAGGAAGTATGCTCTTCCTCCTTTATAGCAGCTGCTAAATTTGTATGAACGAAGAAGACCGAGATTCATGTATTGAACAAATATTGATTGACTACCTGCCATGGGACCATTTGCAGGGATCTGTAGATTAAATTCTACCCAAAATGCATTTAACTACAAATTCTTACTTCCCCTCCCTCCAGGATCTCAGGGGGAAGAAACTAGATAGTCTGACTTTACTGTGCATTCTGCCTTCTAGCTTCATTCCAGTTTATTCAAGACTGGAACAAAGATGTGTTAAACATCTGCTATATGCTAGGCAATTTAAAGCAGTAGAAATAAAGCATGCTGTCTAGCCTTAATATATGTTACACCTCCCAGTAGAAGAAGGACATAGGCATGACTAGATCCTACAGAGTATTAGGGGTATAGTTACAGGAATATATAGATCCGGTGCATCAGAGGCAAGTGGAAGGAGTCATTTCTGCCAGAGTATAGGAAGTAAAACTCGTTGAGTCTTGTATAAATTGTTTGGAGAAAAGGGCACAGGAGAAAAAGTGATGATCTGGGTATGATGCGTCAATAAAGTTATAGAAATACTGTTGCAAAAAAAAATACTATTGCAATTCATTTCTTTAAAACTCTGGTGGGGATGGGGTAGAGAGTAGCTGCCACCAAGGGCTCAATAGAAAGTAAATGTCTAGAAAATAATGATATACAAAAACGCTTGATACAATTGATGTATGGATTGTTATAAGAGCTGTAAGAGCCCCCAATAAAATGATCTTTTAATTTAAAAAAAACACGCAAATTATCCAGTAGGTTTTAATTTATTTTTGTATCAAAAAGATCTTTTCTTTTCTCCCTCTTCCCTCCTAATATTTAAAAACTTTGTGTTCAAGGTTATCAACTGGCAAACATCTCTTCACATCCCACCACAAGCTAAGCTGAGCCCTGAAGCCTCTGACCTTATTATTAAGCTCTGTCGGGGACCAGAAGACCGCTTAGGCAAGAATGGCGCCGATGAAATAAAAGCACATTCGTTTTTTAAAACGATTGATTTCTCCAGTGACCTAAGACAGCAGTCGGCCTCATACATTCCTAAAATCACACACCCCACAGACACGTCAAATTTTGATCCGGTTGATCCTGATAAGTTATGGAGTGATGTAAGCGAGGAAGAAAATGTCAACGACACGCTCAACGGGTGGTATAAGAACGGGAAGCACCCTGAACATGCCTTTTATGAATTCACCTTCCGGAGGTTTTTTGATGACAATGGTTACCCGTACAATTACCCAAAGCCTATTGAGTATGAGTACGCCAATTCACAAAGCTCAGAGCAACAATCGGATGAAGACGATCAGCACACGGGCTCTGAGATCAAAACCCCAGACCTAGTGTATGTTTAATGTGCGAGGGAGGAATCAAACCCCATGGTTCTGTAATGAAGATTTGCAGAGCTGCCCCAAATGCAGGGTTTTTTGTTGTTCTGAGAGTAAAAATATGCAAATGTGACAGAGCAAGGTTTGTATGCTCTGTGCACACTATTTTATTTTCCTAAATTATGGGAACTCTTGAAAATGCTAATTTATTCCTGCCTTTTTAATCAACTTAGAAAAAAATTGTTATAAGGAAAGTAAATTATAAACTCAATATTATAGTCAGTTCTTGGTACTTAAAGTACTTAAAATTAAAAACAAAATAGTGCTTTCTTTTAAGAGGAAAAAGCCTGCTATGTATTTGTATATATGCTCAGCCTTTTTCTTTTAAGAATTTTTGGAAAAAACTTTTTGAAAGACAGTTTTAGTTTCATCTTGCTGTAACCAAATATGAAACATACCCTATATTTGAGGGTTGTTTTCTTTTTCCATAACTTTGTTTTTGATACAAAATAAGCTAGAGAAATAAAGCCATGATAATGGTGTTCCTGGGCTAACGCTAATCTGCACAATTCACATCCTGGAACTGGAAATACAGGGTTGAGACTTATGTTCATCAGAAGGAAAAGGACGGCTGACCTTTTCCCCATCAGTGTCATATAGGGGTCTTCGAGAAGTTCATGAAAAGATGGAATTAAAAAGATGATGAAATTTTTTCACGAACTTTATGAAGCCTCCTCATATTTCTCAAGAATCACTGGCTTTCAAAGAAGCCAGAGCACTCCCCGTTTTCTCCCATCAACATCCTCCATGCTGCCTCCATCTAAAAGCAGCAAAGCTGCCCTTAGTGAGCATCGTGGACTGCTAAAGGCTAATATCTTTCGTGGTTTTGTTTTAAAGTTTGAAAATATATTTTCAACCTCCCTAAGAGGTGGTCTTTCTCAGTTTCACATGAAACTGAAGAGTAGTTATTCGTGGGCACCCACTAGAAAAGTACTCTTCTGTTGTGACTGCTTTGGATCCCGCCGTCAGTCCGGCTTCCCCTTTCAGATTGCGCTTGGCAGTATTACAGCTTCAGGACAGATTAATTGGCGAAGAAAATAATTATTAGCTTTTAATGGCCAGAATGAACTAGAAAAAGTTACATGTGGTTTTAGTAGGAACTTCAGACCCTCCTTACTATCTGGAACAGTGGGTTAAGCACTGCTCTGCTAATCAAACCCACCGTCTGCTCCGAGGCAGGAAGCTGAGGCTATCTGCCCTGTCATGATTGACAGGTGGGAGCAGTTCTGCTGTGTCCCATAGAGTTGCTATGGGTCAGAATTGACTCGATGGCAGGAAGTTTTGGGAGAACTTCAAGTATTTTACTGTGTTTTTAACATTGCCTGTTATCTGTGCTTGAATTTTACCAAATCGCGTTAGCTTGTCGTTTAGAAAAGGGCTCTCTGCTGACATGAGTAGATGTTGTATCTTGTTTACTTTTTTCAGCTCCTCTAATCAAGAATTGTTTTATCAAGACAAAATTTGCAGATAAGAGGCATAATTCTAGTGATTGTCAAGCCCTTACCTTTCTTCATTTAAAAACAAATGGAAATCTAGACCAGTGTACATCATACTAAAGGCCAAACTGTTGTCATTGGGTGGGGAGCGGGAAAGATACATTGATCCAGCTCACACTTCCCGGTATTCTGCGTTCTTCAGGTGGCCCTCTCAGAAGCCAGCAGGAAACCCACTGCCATGTAATGGTGGGCCTGTGGGAGTCACTGCTTCTTTTGAGAATGTGACTAAAGTGGGCTCTTCCCTGAAAACTGCAGACCAGCACATACACATTGCTGCTCTATACATTCCCAGGGGACTGGGGAAACGTTGAAACTTAGATCTGTCCTATGATAAAATTGATTTATTGAGTGCCATCCAGAGCCAGGGAAGCAGCAGTGGAATGATGTGCGAGAAGTATTTAATGAAAAATGAAAATAGCATTAAATGTACATCAATCTTGGGAGACCCAGAGCAGGCCAGAGATCCAGAGCAGAGCTCTTGTCTTCCCTTGGCTGTGGACACCGACCTAAGGCAGTTTCCGAGGACATCCCCAGCCGAGGGCAGCAAGGTGGTCAAACTGCCTGCCCCTGCATCCCCTTCCAACCCCAAACATCAGAAAGACAGCCATGGTGACCCCGAACACCAACAACAAAAAAGAATTATATACAAATGTGGGTAATTTCTCTGTACTGATCCTCAAAACAACCAATAAAATACCAGTTACCAATTTTTTAAAAAAATTGATGTATTAAACTAAAATTTTGGTTTTTCTCATTCAAAACTCAAATTATCACATCCTCAACACTTACTTCATGATGGAAAAGGCCTGTGTAGCATGTGACAGGCTGTCCCAGTGAGTGGCTGTTTCTAGGTGTTACAGAACTATTTCCACAAGACCTCCCATCAGAGGATTGTGAAAATGCACTCTAATGACAATGGTGGTCTTTGGGGCACATTGGCTTGGTCGCATAAAATCCTATGCAAAACAAACGAGCTTAAGGATTTTGAAATTTTATAACTCTTGTTTTAAAGCTCTTGCTTCTGGTTGTAATTGTTTTGTAATTTAAGTTGTTTCACTTCTGGGCTGTGGTGCAACAGCAATGTAAAACCCACTCTTTACACTTGCATTGTTGGAAGGAACGCTAAGGTGCTGTGTGCCCCTTCCCTCCCTAGCCCCATCCGGATGGCCTTATTCCTTAGATAATGTAGACACTACCAATTGCTATCCTCTCATAAATGCCCTCCACTGGTACAAGCCTGTGTGCATCTGAAGCAATATGCACGCCTTTGGCATCTGCAGTGTTCATGGCGGAGACATCCTCCTGCCTACTTTATTCCCAGATTGTATCCAGCTCTTCTATGAAATCTGGTGCTTCCTGACCAAACTATGAGAGCTACAACATCAAAGAGATGCTGTCAACTGAAATAGTGAAAACATTGGTTATACATGTTTTCTTTCTTTAAATGATTCCCCCCCCCCCCAAATACACTGTCTGGAACTTTGCCCTTTTTAATATATCTGAATAGTATTTATAAAATGTGCTATATAATTATGTAACTGTAGGTAATGTTATGTATTGTCCTCTGGTACCTTAAGGCAGCCCCTTCTGCTGTCTTCTCTTTTTCTACCTTCTCTATATAGAAACTCTAGAATGTATGACTCAGAAGTCACTTTGAGATTGACTTTTTAAAAAGTTATTACCTTCTGCTGTTGCAAAGTGCAAAACTGTGAGTGGAAATGTTTTATTCTGACTTAATATGTTAGAAACTAGAGAATGCAGTGTGAGGATTTGTAGACATTGCTGCTTTTGTTACCCAAGATGTACCTTTAGAAAAATGTTAATTAACAAAAAACCATGTCGTATTTAAAGTGAAAACATTTAGCCTGTTTGTTTTAACCAAAAGCGAAGAGTAATTTGGGTAAACATATGGTCTATTTGTAAAGCGCCTTAATATATCTCTTTGTGGAAGGCACTATACGAGTTTACTTTTATATTGTATTGTATATATGTTTGTTTTTTAATTGAATCAGTGATCACACTACAATTTTATAAAACAATGCTTTGTTAGGGAAAGGAATTACAACTTTGCAATATAATGAAATTGTTTTGCGTACTTCTGAATGTAGTAGATACCAATAATCAGCCTGTGTTTTTAATGACTATTTGTATTTTCTGAATCATTTTCTCTAGTGTAACATTTGCTGGAATAATAAAAGCAAAAACAAAATTCAAACCTTTCCACTTGGACAGCTGACTTTTCAGCTGCTTAACTGTGTTGGTTTTTAAGTTCTAAAACTGCTTCTTTTACTCCCTTTATTCTGAGAGATGCTATAAGAAAATTTGATGCTTATGAATTAACAGTATTATAAAGGATGACAAGCCTTAGTTGGGACATGGAAAATGAACAGATTTAGTGTAACTCAGGAAAGTGCGTTGACCCTGCCCAATATATTGCTAAGTGCCTATATACAACCAACTGAAGCACTGCCAGTCCTGTGCCTCCCACAGTGGTTTGATGTTTGAGCCTAGTGTTGCAGCCACTGTCAATTCATCTTGTTGAGGGTCTTCCTCCTTTTCACTGCCCCTCTACTTTTGCCAAGTATTATGTCCTTTACCAGGGACTGGTTTCTCCTGATAACATGCCCAAAGTATGTGAGATGAAGTCTCTCCATCCTTGCTTCTAAAGAGCACTCTGGCTGTCCTTCCAAGGCAGATTTGTTTGTTCTTTCAGCTGTCCGTGGTACTTTGAATTTCCTTCTCCAGCATCATAACTCATGCATTGAGTCTTCTTCGATCTTCCTTATTCAGTGTACAACTTTCACTTGCATATGAGGCAATTGAAAACACCATCCGATGCTTGCATTAGATGCACCTTAGACCTCAAAAGTGTATTAAGTATAAATATTTCATGTTAAATATTCCTTTCTGGAGAGTACAGGTGTAAACCTTTTGGCTACTGAAAATCAGTATAGTTTGGATCATAGTTTATGAAATATGAAGTCAATATATTTTCCATTTTTATAACCTTTTACCACATGAAACTTTTTTCTTTTATGAAATGCATATCAATCAAATATACGATTGGTTTCCAAGAGGACCTGTAACAAAGCACCAAATGACAGGAGTTTATTGTCTCACAGTCTGAGGCTGGAAGTCATGTTCAGGGACTCGGTAGGGTCATCCTCTCCAAAATCCTGTATGGGAAAGAAGATTCTGGCTTGTTTTTCCATATGTCTGGTAGCCCCAGGAGCCCCTTGGCTTGTAGCTGCAGCAGGAGGACATAAGCGTACATCACCTTCTGTTTAACCATTCATCTCTTGATGATCACCTTGGGTTTCCATTTTGGGGCGATGAATAATGCTGCAGTGACCGAGTTGCTGCTTTCCATTCATTTAGGTACACCCTTAGGAGTGGTATTGTTGGGCGGGATGGTAATTCTAAGGAGCCCGAGGGATGCAATGCCAAAAAATTGGCAGTTTGATGCTCTCATAAAAATTATATATAGCCTAAGGGTTTCTCTATAAAACCAAACTCACTGCCATTGAATCAGGGCAGGCTCGTAACGGCTCTAGGACAGAGTAGAACTGCCTCAGTTTCTGAGATTGGAAATCTTTTGGGGAGTACAAAGCCCTGTCTCAACAAAAACCCTGGTGGTTTTGAACTGCTGAGCTTGCAGTTAGCAGCCCAGTTCAATTCTGTCTTACAGGGTTACTATAAGTCAGAATCCATGATTCACAACAACATGGACTATTGTGCTTCACCTTTGGAGGACCTACCAGACCCTTCCACCACGGCTGTGCCATTTTACATTCCCACCAACAGTGGGTCAATGTAATTTCTCTACATCTGTGCCAACACTGGCTATGTTCTGTTTTTAAAATATGTATGTATTTAATATGTATAACAGTTATACTGGTGGGTATGACGTCTCTATGGTTCTGATTTACATTTCCCTAGTGACTAATGATGCTGGCGATCTCATGGGGTTCTTGGCCATGTGTATATCTTTTTTGGAGAAATAACTGTCACCTACTCTTCTACTGAGTTTTTAGTTGTTTTATTTCTGAGTTGTAGTTCTTCCTATATTTTGTATATTAAACCCTTCTCTGATATATGGTTACTATCTTAGTTACCTATTGCTGCCATAACAGATATCCCTAAACGTATATAACATGAAAGAACAGATTTATTTCATTCAATTCTGGAGGCTGAAAGTCCAAATTAGAGTCTGAGCTGGGTTGACTGCTTCCTTGGCAGTAGCTCTGGGTGTTACTTGGTTTATAGATGATCTTCATATGGAATTTGTTTTCTACCTGTGTGTCTGTGTCTCTTCTGGCCTAACCTTGAAGTGATTAGATTTAAAACTCACCCTAAGGTGGTGTGACCCCTGAACACAACAAAAGAAAAACTTTCCAAACAGGGTCATATTTCAGGGGACACTTCACCTCACTGCCATCCAGTCAGTGCCCACTCACAGCAATCCTATGGGACAGGGTAAAAGTGGCCCCTGTGAGTTTCTGAGATTCGTAACTCTCATAGAGTCGAAAGCCCTGCCTTTCTCCTGCAGAGCAGCTGGTGGTTTTGAACTGCTGACCTTTGGGATTGCAGTTCAAACATAACCTCTATACCACCAGGGTGTATTGAAAGGTATAGGGGGTCAAGACTTGGGGAGGGCACAGTTCCAAAATATTATACTCTAGCCTCCCCAAATTCGTGTCCTTCTCACATGTAAAAGGGCATTCAACTCGTCACACCAGTCCCCTAGAGCCAACCAGAATTTCAAACCACTCCTGCCTGGTTCAGTCACGACTGACAGCAAAATCAGACTGGATCCACATTTGTAAAGTGTAGGTGTACCGGAACAATAACTGGAATGGGGAAAATTCAGATGGATGCCCTGCCTAGAACTGACTCATCAGAAAATAAGGGCTGTGCACATTGCATTGCAACTGCATATCTTGACCACCAAAACTGCAAATGTGGCTGCTCAGAGGGTGGCTACTCCAAACTTAGTGTGTGCTCTTCTCCACAGCCTGGACAAGAATCCATTCTGCCACATCACGCTCCGACCTGAAAGTGCTCACCAAACCTCTCCTTTTCCAGGGTTTCCATTTCCCCCCGTTCTGGTTATCACTTCAGTACACCCACATTTTACAAATCTAAGTCTGTTCCTTTAGTCAGCCATGACTCAACCAGTTTGAAGCCCTGGTCTGAACTCATTCAGCTTGTCCTGTTCACTGTTCTCTATGATGTTCTTTGTGGGTTTTCCATAAATATCCTTTTTCATATTGAGGAATTTCCCTTGATCTTTAGTTCATCGAGGTGTTTGTTTGCTTTAATTATGAAAAGGTGTTTCATTTTATCAAATTACTTGCTGCACCAATTGAGATGATCGTGTGATCTTTATCAGTGGACTGTTAACTTTGACCTGATGTTAAACATGCTTTTGTTTTTTAAATATTTTCACTTGTTTTAGGAGCCCTGGTGGTGAAATGGTTACATGGTGGGCTGCTCACCACAAGGTCAGCAGTTCAAAACCACCAGCTGCTCCAAGGGAGACAGACAAGACTTTCTACTTCCGTAAAGGGTTACAGTCTTGGAAAGCCATAGGGGTAGTTGTAGCCTATCCTGTAAGGTTGCTATGAGTCAAAATGGACTCAATGGCAGTGCATTTGGAGGTTTTCTCCTTCAAGACTTAAAAGATGTTGCTCCACTGTCATCCGTCTTGCATAGTTTCCCGTGGGAACTCTGCTGTCATTTTTTTTCTATGTTCCTATGTATTTCCCAGTTGCTTCTAAGATTTTTATATCATTGACTTTAAACAATTTAATTGTGTTTTAGTGTCATTTTCTTCATCTTTCTGGTGTTTGTGATTTAGTGAGCAAAAAATATGTAGGACTACGTTTTTATCTCATTACACACTTGCTCGTTGAACATATCACTTGCTTGTTGAAATGTGACCAAAGTGACTACTTATACTAAGGCAGACTCTCAGCAATTTATTTCATTTTCTGTTTTGTTCACTGCAAGGCAGGGTTCCAGTTCCTGCCTCCAGTCTGCTGTCTACATGTAGACTTGACTCAGGGCCTCCACAACACTTCCTGTCCACTCAGAGTGTTACCTCAAATATCTCTGCACATATAATCAGTTCAGAAGAGGTCACATTGGATTAGAGTTGGCCCTGAATCCAGGATGGTTGGTATCTTTATAAGAAGAGAGACACACACAGAGATAGAAAGCTGGCAATGGGATTATGGAGTTTGGAATAGGGAGTACTAGAACTATACGCCAAGGTATTCCAAGGTTAGCCAATAAACACCAGAAGCCAGGAAGAGACAAAGAAGGATTCCCCCATAGAGACTTGAAAGGGAATATGGCTCTGCTGACAACTAACTTGCAGTTTACACGACACCCTGCCAGAGCTGTTTGAAATATCTGTGATTTGCAATTACTCTAATAGTGAAGAATTGAAAAGAAGTAGCCTTGGTGGTGTACTGGTTATATGTTGGGGTGCTAACCTCAAGGTCAGTAGTTTGAACCCATCATGTGGTCTGTGGGAGAAATATGAGGCTTTCTGTTCTGATAGGCAGTTCTACTCCATCCCATAGGGTCATTATTAAATTAAACACTTTTTAAATTGAAGTATAATTTATGTACAATAGAACGCATCCATTTGTGTACTCTGATGAGTTTACCTATGTAACCACTGCTTCAATCACTGACAGAACACTTCCATTATGCCGCCATATTTCTTTATGCTTCTTTGCAGGTACTGTTTTTTTTAGCAGTTAATGTGGTTTTATTTGGGAAATTTTCCATTCATAAAAGTAACATGCCCTAAGCAAATGTGGCGAAGAAAGCTGATGGTGCCCGGCTATCAAAAAGTATAGCGTCTGGGGTCTTAAAGGCTTGAAGGTAATCAAGCGGCCATCAAGCTCAGAAGCAACAAAGCCCACATGGAAGAAGCACACCAGCCTATGCAACCACGAGGTGTCGAAGGGACCAGGTGTAAGGCATCATCAGAACAAAAAATCTTACCATAGTGAATGATGGGGGGAGTGCGGAAGTGGAGATCCGAAGCCCATTAGTAGGCCACTGGAGATCCCCTTGCAGAGGGGTCTCTGGGAGGAGATGAGCCAGTTAGGGTGCGATGTAACAACGATGAGAAATACAACTTGTCTCTAGTTCCTAAATGTTCCTCCCCGCTTCCACTACCATGACTCGAATTCGACCTTGCA